TCTTAACTTTGAATCAATTTTTAAAAAATTGCAATCCGTTTTCATTGTGGATTAGAAAGCATTGAATGTTTTTATAAGGAAAGAAGCCTACATGGTTCTTCTGCACAGATTTCAAAATTCTAGTATAAAATTAACCAAAAATATCTGAAGAGACTATTGAAGCTGTTATAAAGGAAATGTACCTGCCTCCTTAAATTACCTACCTTCCAACAGAGACTTATGCGTGTGTAGTAATCTAACTCACACATTCCTGTTAAGCCTTCTAGAACTGAATGAATAAATCTTTTGATGTAAGTATCCCCTGGTGTTTTAAAAGTTTTTCCATTTAATGTATATATTGTTGCCTGTTTCATTGTTTGATGTGATATAGAAAGTATTATTTCATGCGTATAATTAGACAGCAAAGATGAAGGTAGTGTGAACACCAGAGATGAAGGTAGTATTAAAAAGGTTTAATATTTTAACAAATGCACTCTAAAATGAACAAAATAAAGTACTTAACAAACACTCATCTCTGAAGCTCTAAAAAATGCCAAAATGTTGGGTCTTCCCACGCTAATGGTATCTCTGTCATAATTCTGTATGTTATGCTCACAAAGACTCTAAGTCCAAAAAAGAGGTTGAAAATATTGGCAAATCATTTGATCACAGCAGCTGTCCAACTGAACTGCAATCGTTAGAAATGGAGGAATTTAAAACCAAACCTTGGTATTTTTCTATAGCATTCAGTAAATGTTCTAGACTAACTATATGCCAGGTTTTGTGCTGGGCATCAGTAATTCACAGATTAATAAGAAGACATAGTAGCCTACTCAGTGCTTTTACCTGAGTGCTTTAAATTTCTGGCTTTCTCCTCAGAATTCTGGTATTTCAATTCCAATTCCTTTTTATCTTCTTCTAGAAGCTCCAGTTGCTGTTTGAGGCTGTGCATCTCTTTGTGGAGTGTTTCATTTTCTAGTTGCTCTTCTAATTCTTTGACCTATAAGTCATAAACAATATCTTACGGGGTGATAGTTTTCCCTTTGTCAAAGAAAGGGGACGAAATAAATATATATTTCCCTTTGACTTTGTACTTCACCACAAAGAGATTCCATCTTTAAAACCACACAAATTCTGGATAAAGATAATACTTAAAATCATTATCACCTCTTTGATCCAACATCAATTTACTGGGGAGTTAGGTACCAGACATTTAATCTTCAAATGTGAGATACAAAAGTAAAATAATAAAAATTCATTTAAAACAGATTAATGCTTTTGTATCCATTTTAAAGAGAAAAATTCAGGTAGTATTTAAAAAGACCCCTGGGGGCACAATTTGGTAGTAAGTATCAAAAACCTTCCCAAGAAAAGAAGAAGGAAAGGCCCTTGATTCAGTAATATCACTTTTAGGAATTTGTTTTTAAAAATATTCAGACACAGGCCAGGAGTGGTGGCTCATGCCTGTAATCCCAACACTTTGGGAGGGCAAGGCAGAAGGGTTGTTTGAGGCCAGCAGGTCAAGACCATCCTGAGCAACACAGTAAGACTCCATCTCTACAAAAAATAAAAAAAATTAGCCAGGTGTGGTGGCACACACCTGTGTTCCCAGCTGCTGGGGAGGCTGAGGCAGGAGGACCACTTGAGCCCAGGAGTTGGAGGTTGGAGTGAGCTATGATCCTGCCACTGCACTCCAGCCTAGATGACAGTGTGAGACCCTGTCTCTAAACAAATAAATAAAATACTCGGGCAAGTGTGCAAATATATTCATTAAAGTGTTCTTCATAACAATGAAAAGGTGGAAATAACCTAAATGTCCACCAATATTACTGATTCAACAAATTATGGCATGTTCATTAAATGAAATACTATGCAACCATTTAAAATCATAGAGCTTACCATCAACTGACATGGGAATATATATTACCAACTGAAAAAAATCAGATTATAGGATAGTATGTGTGGTATGGTTCCATTTAAACAAACAATATATATACTTGTAAAATTATGTATTTACATAAAGTTTAGATATGCACCAAAACACGGGATTCTTTAACTTTTCCTATATTTACAAAAATTGTTTATTATAAGGAACATATGTTATTTTTATAATTGCAAAAATAGTATGCTGTGCTTAAAAGTTTGCTGAATCTGCAAGGAACTTACAAACAGAGAAGAAATATTTTAAGCCACATATAGATGGTCTGGTCCCCAACTTATGATGGTTTGACTTACAATTTTTTGAGTGTACAATGGTGCAAAATCAATCCACATTCAGTAGAAATAATACTTTGAATTTTGAATTGTGATCTTTTCCCAGGCTAGCAATATGCGGTACACTATCTTACAAGGCTGGGCGGCAGCAGCCAGCTGCCACTGCAGTGTTCTATGCTGCCAGATGATTTTGCCCAACTGTAGGCTAATGTAAGTGTTTGGAGTACATTTAAGGTAGGCTAGGCTAAGCTGTGACATTCAGGAGGTTAGGTGTATTAAATGTATTTTTGATTTACAATATTTCCAACTTATGATGACTTTATTGGGACATGACCCCATTGTAAGTCAAGGAGCATCTGTACATGAAAGATTTTCCAGAATAACTATATAGAGGGCATAACAGTTTAGAAGTAATTATTGCTATAATTTCATTCATGGCTTTTATCTAATCTTTAGTATCTCTATCCCTATCCAACAAGGTACATATACGACAATTTATTCCTATACCTCAGTTCAATTCGGTAGGTTCTAGGCATGTATTCTTTATTAAATGACTCAACTGCAAGTAGTTGGACCTTTCAGAATCAAAAGTTAAATTCTAGCTTAAGCTAAAAAAAAAAAAAAGAGCACATTCTTTTCTTCATCTTTATTTGAAAAGGTAATTCCTGCACATGGGAACAAAAAATAAATAAAAAAAGAAAGAAATTAATTCTTTCCCTCTTACTCTGTTTCAGTCCTCTTTCCCAGGTGACTATTATTACCACCTATCCATCCAGAGGTACTCTACACATACACCAACACATCTTACCGAGGAAAAATAAAATCGACTTGACCTCACCACCGATTTCGTAAAAACTTCAGAACTTCCAAGTATTAAATGTCGGTATTGCTGCTCACAGAGACTGACAGGTAATAACAAACAGCAGCCAGCAGCCTTTCCTTCCCCAAGTAGGCACGTGGTAAGCAGTACAAATATTGATGTAATTTTTCGTAAGTGGTTTCTTTAGTTTGAAAGTCTTTGTTCTGCCTCTTCACCTCTCCTCTCCCACCTCCTCTCACCTCCCACGATGACTATCCTTTCTGCCTAGCACACAGAGGTAGGCTGTGTCAGCTGGAATAGCTCCACTCATACAAATTGAAATAACCACTTAGGAAGTCTTTAAACATATACATTTGTGCAAGTTTACAAAGTCAGAAATTTTCTCTAAGCAAACAATTACTACTAACATGGACTTTTCTTTTACTCCCTCTTTGAATAAAACCTATGAACTCCAACAAGCTCTTTGAGGGTAATATAGCCTCTTAGTGTGGACAGTCTCCTAAAAACACAATGTCTCCAAAAAACAGAATTCCAGACTCTGCATTAGCGAAGCTATTTTTGAGTCATATCTCTTTCTCTTGCTTCTTATGATCCCTTGGACAGTCTAAAGATCATTGTAAAATCTACAACAGTGTGCTAGAAATTTTAGTTTGGAAATAAATTAAGTTCATTTGGTATTGTTTTCTAAAAGGTGATTGGAAGGACTTAGTAACTAAGGCAAAATATAGAACTACAAATGACTAGACTGATTCTTTTCATTTTAAATATATGTAAGTGTGCATATATGTCTGTGTGTACCTAAGGCTCCAGAAGAAAATCTGTTACCTTTTGCTGATGCTGAATTCTCTCTTCTTCAAGGAGCTGGATGAGTTTTGCATTTTCATCTAAAGCTTTCAAAAGCTGCTGGTCAGGGACAGAGTTCTGTAGCAGAAGGTGACTTTGTCTCTTTAGCTTGTTTTGTTCAATGAACATCTGCAAAAGTTTATTACAGGAACATATACATACCAATCCATCTCACATATTTCAATGGTAATTTCAGCAAAAGGAAAGTACATAGTTTGTATTAAAATGTTAAAGGCAATTTCTGAATTGTGTAACAGTTTTAGAAGCAGTGATTGCTACAATTTCATTCCTAACTCTCATACAATCTTCAGTACCTTACTCCTGCCCCCAACAAGGGTGGCGGTGTGTGTAAATAATTTATCCTACACTTCAGTGTCTAAAATTTTATTATTGCTTGAAAATACATTAATACTAATAGTAGTAGCTAATATTTATCAAGAACTTACCTTATGTACTCTACTAAATACTTTGTATGCATTATTTTCATCTCTTACA